GCAGGCAGGCAGGCAGGCACAGACAGACAGACAGACAGACAGACAGACAGACAGACAGACAGACAGCAGACAGCAGACAGACAGAAGACAGACAGGCAGGCACAGAGAGAGAGAGAGAGAGAAGAGGAGAGAGAGAGAGAGAGAGAGAGAGAGAGAGAGAGAGAGAGAGAGAGAGAGAGAGAGAGAGAGAGAGAAACTGCAATATATCTAGTGTGACAGAAAAAAAAATTGGAAAGAAAAAAAAAGCCGTTTAATTTACCTTCTGAGATCTGAAGGGTCGACTGTCGAGTTTATGTTGCGGAAAGTTAGCCTTTTCGCGCTCGTGTCGCCGGAGTCAGTAACTGCTATGTGTTGCCACGGCAGACTTGGAGTTTAGAAAAAGAGAGACACAACCAAAGTGGCCGAGTGAGTGGAGTGAGGCGTGGATGAGTGAGTAAATGGGTGGAGAGTTTTGTTTGTATGCGGTTGAGTGAGTGGGTGGGTGAGTAAGTGAGTGTGTGAGTGTGTGTGTGTGAGTGAGTGAGTGAGTGAGTGGAGAGAATGGGTCGACATGTTTAAATAGTGACTGAGTCAATTGTGACAGTGTGAGAGAAGGTGAGTTTTTAAGCGGATGGGGGAATGCGCGAATGTGGTGAGAAAATGTTAGGTAGCAAATGTATGGGATAGTGAGAAAGAGGAGAGAAAAAGGGGGAAGGGAAGGGGGAAGGAAAGAAAACAAATGGAAGGCAAGGCAAGGCTAAGGGAAGGAAACGGTAAGGAAAGAGGAAAAGCAAGGAAAAGAAAGGAAAGGAAAATAGAAATGAATAAAAAGGAAAAAATGCAACCAACCAACCCACCAGAAAATATTTACAAGAAGGAGGGAATGGAACTATCATAAAACCAGAGGTACAGCCCAGTGGAGGATGTGCAGGAATATGCAGGAGCGGCGGCCCTATCATTAAGGAGTCCTCGGGCCAGGCCTGATGCGGACGAGTGGCCGGCTTGCTGCTCTGGGTTAAAAAGCCCTCCTCGGCCAGGGGGAACCGGCCAGCCTTTTCCCGCTTCCTCTGAGGGGGTTTTGTTTTCTTCTTATCCGTTTGTTTATTTGTTAAATCCGATTATTATTGTTATTATTGTTTTCATTATTATTGTTATTATTATTAGTATTATTTTTGTTATTATTATTGTTATTATTATTATCATTATTATTATTTTTTGTTGTTGTTGTTTTGTTGCTGTTATTATTGTTATTTTTGTTATTATTATTATTATTTATTTATGTTACATAGCCTCTCGGAAATAATAGCTGTCAGGAGAGAGCTTATCAGTGTTGCGGGGTTTTCTTTAAAACAGATATGATAAAAGAAATGGCGCCGTTTTTTATGTATTTTGATCATGGAATCCGGGTTCATTTGTAGTAACCTATGTCCATCTGTTTGTCTGAATATGAATCTATTTGTGTTAATCTGTCTGTCGTTTGTGTCTCTGTCTCTCTGTCTCTGTATCTGATTAAGATTCACGAACGGATGATTTTTGGTAGCATTGCAGTGATTTTTTTTTTTTTTTTTATATTGCCATTGGATAGTTGTTTTATGTTCGGTATATCTGTTTTTTTTTTTTTATAAAGTGGATATACTTTAATCATACCCTTTTAAATATGCTTTCTCCACTATCTATTACGTAGAATATGGAAGATGTAATAATGCACTGTCGCATTGATATGATGAATGAATAACTTCGAACCTGTGTCACTGTAAGCATCTGTCTTGCACTTACCTGCCTGCAATGACGTAGGTTCGAATCCTGGTTGGGGAAGGTAGGTAGAATATGCATATTACATTATCATATGGGCTGCAGTCGCTCATTGAGCCACGTCAGCCTCTTATACACAGGAGAAAATATGGAAGAAACGATTTTTTTTTAATTTGTCTTCAGAGATCCTTGCGCAAAAAGGCTTGAAGCTTTGGGTTCATTCCTCGCGAATCTGCGTCTACTGCCACTACAACTGCAGCTGCATTTCTTGGTGGAATAGTCGACCATTTCTTTTCTCATAGCCATGCCTACTTTTACTTATTACGTGAAGGATATGTAATACATAATACTTTTTGGAGCATTCACAAGCTGAGCGGGGTTCTCATATGACTGAGTGTCCCCCTTTTAAGAGGTCCTTTTGCACAGCGTCTTAGGGCTTCGTGATCGAGTTGCCCCCACTAAAGCACACTGAGGAGGGAGAACCACGGGCGAAATACACATTGCACAAGCGACTGCGTCTCTCCTTGGTTGTTGTTCTTTCTGACTTTACCTTGGCGAGGCCTTACGCAGAAAAACTTTGGCCTTACGTAGAAAATATTACGTAGAAAAACTTTGGCCTTACGTAGAAAATATTACGTAAAAAAACTAAATCTAATTTAAAACCTAAACATAATCATACATATTATAATAAATATTTGTGTATTGGATATTGATGAAATATGTTTATGTTTTAACTAGTCATCATTGTTTTTAGGTTGCGTTAGCAGCAATGCCAACTAGCTTCATATATGGAATCAGACGCGGAATTGGTAAATTTATTTTTCCTTTCTGTTTTGCGGGAACTGTGGGGCATTTATGAAAAACTACACAACAGAATGAATTTTATTACAAAAAAAAAGAGTAAAATAGAAAAGTGGCTGGCAACGTTGTCCATAAGATCGCTTCGCTTCCAGATTTTCATTTGGCTTGAGAGTGGCGCATCAAATGTTTCTATCGTTGAATACAGAAGTAGAGAATGCGAGGATGCAGACATTTTTCCATTTGCTCGTTTGTTTCCATCCGTGCCGAATAAGAAATAGGCCTGCGAGGAGATTGCTTCGTCCGTCGGCGTCATTTTCATCGGACTTCGAATACCACTTTCACGCAACTTATTTGGAGCGTTTTCCGCGCGATTTACTTCGGACTCTACGTACCACCTTGATTGTCGGGAAGAAGTGTGATGCGCCCAACGGAATGTTTGGCGGGGAGTGCAGGCCACCCACATCCGAGGACCCGTTCTCAGTGAAGATGTAATGAGTGAAGGTGTGCGAGTACCATGGTCTGTGTTGGGAGGACGTGTACAGGTTCTGCTATTTCCATCCTCATTTCCCATATCTCTTTTGGTAGTGATAATCCGCGATGATAGGTAGACAGAGGTTCGGAGGGAGAGAGGGAGAGAGAGAGGAGAGGAGGGAGTGAGGGAGAGAGGAGTGAGGGAGAGTGGGAGTGAGTGGAGTGAGGAGAGTGAGGAGGGAGTGAGAGAGAGAGAGAGAGATAGAGAGAGAGAGAAGTAGTGAGGGATAGCTTGCTAGCTCTGTTTCCGTCTTTGCAGCAGTAATGATTATAGCAATGTTGATAACTGAAAGGCGCTAATGTTATGAAAAATAGTAAAATGTGCTAATGTCCCTGGGATCTGTATCATCACCATGGAAGATGTTATCATCACTGTTATTATTCTTGTTTCGTGCATGTTATCTTACCACTTGATAAGATCATCCGCCCGTCTCGGAGGGCATACGCAGAGCCCCCCGCCCCCCCTAAACCTCCCGATAAATTAGAAAACCAATACTGTTCCAACTTATATATCGAGTTTAATGAAGTTTTCAAATTATCTCGGAAGGCAAAGTTGTGGAAACTAAACTCCTTGGGCAGTATTAATTAGAAACCGAGACGCTATGGATGACGCCATTTTAGATCAGGAGGGAGGCATTAGAGGTGCATTTTGGCTGTGTTGTTTTTCTTTTTTTCTCTTTTTCTTTACGAGTTTAATGTGGAGTTCGTTTGCTCCGGCGATGCGACTCCTGGTGACAATTGGCTCCGGGCGAAGCTTAAAGGTCGAGGTGGCGCTTATGAGACCTTTGCTTTGGGGAGACAGGAAGCTGATGCGCTGTTTTTTTTCTTCTTCTGCGGAGAACTGTCATGGGGGTTCGTTTTCTTCGAGTTTTATCAGCGGTGTTGCTGTAGTTGTTACTGTTTATGTCATTATTGTGATTATCATTATTATTATTGTTGTTTTGTCGTCATCATCATCATCATCGTCATCACATCACATCACATCACCATCGTCATCACATCACATCACATCATCATCGTTATTGTTGTCATTATAATTTATAATTGTTATTATCATTTTTGTTATTGTTATTATTGTTGTTTTTGTTGTTGCTATTGTTAACATTTATTGTTATTATTGTTATTATTTTTATGATTGTTATAGTTATTATTTTGTTATTTCTATTGTTGATGTCATTGTTATTATGATTGTTTTTTTATATTGTTGCTATTGCTGCTGTTATTTTGCCGTTGTTGCTGTCACCATCGTCAATAATTATCATCATTGAGGTTATTATTATTTTGTTTAGTTACGATGTTATTATCGGCATACGATTCATTTAGCGAGTGTGTTAGTGGGGGGGGGGGAGGAGAGAGTAAATTCAAGCTTTACCATTTCCCGAACTTAAGGGTAAACGACGAGGCTAGGCATTTTGATATTTCCCGCAATATAAGACGTGCATTACTAACAGTTTATTATTGTAAACATAGACTGGTTTGAAATCGGCCTCGCCTTCAGCACGAGCTTTTCTCGTTTTTTTTTCAACCTCTCAACCTTTGCACGGGACGCCATTGCAAGGGAACTGGTCTTGCTTGGAATGCCTTAGTGTGACTTCAGAAATTGGAGAAAATATATTTGTCTTTTCTAGTGCGACTGTATCCGTTCATTTCACCTTTTTATTAATCTGTCTGGGGATTTTGTGCCATATGGAAGCTGAACTATCCGATAATATCCTCATGGCAGTGACTCATGATCCAACACAAAGGGCATTCCAACAGGTAGGCCTACGTAACGCAAAGCCCCATTGCATCGACCTCAGTTCATTCAGTGCGTGTGAATTCGTGTATATCAATTAATTTCCAGTAGTTATTTTACAGACAGATTGATACGTGACATTCAGTTTTATCTGGTATTCATTTTTTCCCACTGTCCTAACCTTTGCCCGTTGACATTGCAG